GGGGGGGGGGGGGGGGGGGCAAATTGGGTCAAGTATTAACATATTTGATATTTGTTAAAAGAATGTGTTTACTGCTCATGCATACATCTGTGAGGAAGTCTGGCACGGTACTTACTTCAACAACATCTGGAAACAGTTCACAAAAGACTTTGTCCTTGATGTTGAATGCAAGACTCTGGGAGGCCAACTGTCTTTTCTGCAGAGAACACATTAAAAGCAAACATGCCATTAAAATCGATTCCATGTATGTACTTTGTGCATGTTTACGCATAAGGGCACATTTCAAGAACTTAAAGGGTTAGTTCACCCAAAAACCTTTCCAAACCCGTAAGACCTTCGTTCATCTTCGGAACACAAATTTTGATGGAATAGGAGAGCTCTCTGAACCTCCCATAGACAGCAACTCAACTGCGATGTTCCCAGACCCAGAAACGTAGCAAGGACATCAGTAAAATAGATCATGTGACATCAGTGGTTCAACCGTAATTTTACGAAGCTATGAGAATACTTTTTGTGCGCAAAGAAAACAATAATAATTTATTCAACAATTCTTCGCCCCGAGTTACCTTCTTCCATCATTTTGGAGAGTACCCCAGAACGTAATTGCACACATGCTGAACGTAAACAACGCTGATGTCCTTGCTACGTTTCTGGCATATTTAGAGCATTCATAGAGTATTTCATATAAAAAGCTCTGAGGGTTTTTATATGGTAAGAAAAACAATTACACCCCCATCAAAAAGAAAAAAAAATTCGGTGCTAATTTATTCACGTGGGTGAATTATTCCTTTAAAGGGGTCCTATTATGCTTTTTCACTTTTTTAATTTTAGTCAGTGTGTAGTGTGTATGTTTGGGCATTAAAAAGATCTAGAAAGTTACAAATCTCAAAGTCCACTCCAAAGGAAGATATTTCGTTTTTTAAAAATCCCTTTTCAAGAACTACAACGAACGGCTCGTTTGGACTACAGCGCTTGGTTTCCGGGCTTTGTGATATCACAAAGCGGCTCATTAGAATTTCATTACAAATTATTCCCGCCTACAGAAATTCGAATGGTTGGGGGGTGGGGAGGGGCGAGGTTGTGGTTAGAACGCTTGGTTGAGTGA